GAAATATCGCAATTTTAATTTTTTTGCCGTCCACGGAAATTACACAGCCTCAGAAACTGTCCACGGAAATTACATTTTAATGGGCCCTTAGAATAGGTGCGATACGAACGCAAACGCCTAGCACATCCCTGCACATCTGTGCATTCTGGTTCCATGTTGCGTACCTCACAATAAAATTTCGGGCTAGACCACAATTTGATCGTATGCCGTTTCGGGCCCGACACATGCCCGCGTGCACTGCCAAACGGGACACGGCCGTCCTTACTGGGGTGCCACGTTATACTCGCGGAGAAGAACCTCGTGCGGCTACAAGGTCCCACTCGTAGTGTGACCAGTATGTGACGAGGTGTACATTCCCCCCCCCCCCCCCCCACCCCCCCATGGGGGGGGGGCACCCTAGTACAGCCTCTTTGAGCAGGACTGGGTCCGGTGTCCACCTCTCCCGGCTTAATTCCCTTGTCTCGGGAACAACTGTGAATTCCTTTTCTTCTGACCACGGTTGCATAGTGTTTACCTCCCAGGCGGTACCTCTCACACTTGGCAAATGATGGGCCCTAGAGTGGACAACGGAGGAAAGTTTCTCTTGATCAGTTCCTGCGTGTCTATGTTCGGAAAATGTTAAATAATGGGTGCGATCAGTTGAGGAAAAGTTGATCGGCGGGTCGAGACAGCGGCCCGCTCGCGGTGCGGTCTATTTAGCCCTCCTGGAAGCATATCTGGCACCCACGTTTACTAACCTATTCGGAAAGATTTCTTTTTGAGTTTGAGGAACAGATTGCTGCATTTTATTCGATAAACTGGGTCTTAGCATTCGAACGGAAAGCTTAGGAAAAACGTCATGTTTGCTTAACATATCGGTCAGGTTAAGTCCACCGCAAGTCTTAAATGGTCAGCTAGATCCCAAAATACAGCGAGCCTATTTTTCGCAAGACATTAAGCTTTCGGTTAAGCTTTCCGGTCTGAATAATCAACGTTGAACGGTTTCACTGACTCGCAGTCACAACTGTCAAGGCAGTATGCCGGCCGCGCCGAACAAAGCAGCATAAAACCGCTTGGTTGTCCAGAAAATACAGTGTTTGACCAATCTGATGAGTGGAGTCGAAAGCTTAGACTCTTGCAAAAAGTCGGCTCGCTGCTCGTTTGGGTCCATTTTGTGACTTGCGGCGGGTTTGACCTGATGGATGTTGTGGTAAACTACGCCACGACTTTCCTCAGCTTGCCTTCCCATTCCCCATGCCCATTTCCCTCCAGGATGGTTTCCCCTCCATAAGAGAGGTTTAAAACAGAAAAATATCGACATACTTTAGAGCTGGGGCCCCCTTGGGAGGCCAAAATCACGTGAAACGCAACGAAAACCCTTTTGTCCACGGAAATTACAGTCCACGGAAATTACATTATTGCATAAAAGGGGTGTACAAGCCAACCAAAAGTGCCCCCGGGAACCCAAAAATTTTACTGGAACAACTTGTCCACAAGGCAAACACCAAGGATTGGTTCGCAATCAAAATTTTGAATGGTCTGCAAGCAATGGGTGGAACGGAAATTACACTTATTGCTTGCTAGGCCAATTTTTTCGCCGATTTGGAACTTATTTTTTTTTTTTTTTTTTTTTTTTTCAAGTCAATTTATGTCCAGAGGGCGGACCCTGTTGTGGACTGTACAAAATGTTACAAGCGATGTTTGGCCAGGATGCTATACAATGCTATACAATATAGTTATGTTAGAAAACCCTCATAGATACAAAGTGTTCCACTCAGATAGGTCAAAAAGTGATTTTTTAATGCATTCTTGATAGCAAGGTTACTACTTAACAATTTGATGGTGCTAGGGAGTTTATTATAAGTTAAACAAGCTTGGTAGAAAAGGCCGTGGGTTCCATATCGGACTGAGTTTACATGGGGGGGTTGAAGGCTATCACCAAATCTAGTATTGTGGTTGTGAGAATGATTAGATGAGTACGTGAGAGTACTAGTGCACCTATTACCATTGACATGTAAACAGACAATGGAAGCAAGACTAGATTTAATTAGACATCGAGGGGCATGATCTTGGTTTTTTATATAAAGCTGCTTGGTACTGATAGCTCTTTTGTTGACATTAAGCATAATCCTTATGGCTCCATTTTGCAAGACTCTGAGCTTAGATATTAGCAGTTGATTGGCAAGACCCCAGATTGATGGCATATAATTGAGGTAGGAATGAAAATAAGCATAGTATAGCATTTTGAGATAAGGAAGTGACAATACATTTTGTAGCTTAAAGAGAAGCCTGTTAGTGGCTCTAAGTTGAGGGATCAGTTTATTAATTTGATCCTCCCATGTTAACCGGCCATCAATCTTAATACCAAGATATTTAAAAGACAGGACTCTACTCACTTTATTTTTGTTAATTTCTATATCGATATCTTCGACCAGTCCCAAGTCTTTACTGAACAGCATGTAGTTGGTTTTTTTTACGTTAAGACTTAGCTGATTCATTTCGAACCATTGGGCAATAGTAGATAGGTCAGCATTCATGTAAGACTGTAGCAGATCCAAATCATCAGCATCATAGAGCAGTACTGCATCATCAGCAAAGAGAAACAGCTTCCCATATAGCTTCAGGCGGCCTATGTCATTAATGTAAATCAGAAAGAGAAGTGGCCCCAGGACAGATCCCTGGGGGACACCGCATAGGACCAACCTAAGACCACTTTTAGTCTTATTGATTTTCACATATTGAAATCTGTTGCTGAGATAGGATTCAAACCATTGGAGTGGTTTACCCCTGACTCCAATCTTGTGTAGTTTTCTTAGGAGTATCGTATGGTTTACAGTATCAAAAGCCTTTTTCAGATCTATGAAAATTGCACTGGCCTTCCTATTGCAGTCTAGGGTGGTTGAGATACTGCACACAAGATCAAAGAGAGCGCCCCTCGCATCCTTGTCATTTCGAAATCCATACTGATGGTTGTAATAAAATTTAGTTCGGTTCAGGTACTCATCAAGCTGTACCTTCATGGATTTTTCCAGTACCCTGGAGGGGGCTGACGACACTGATATGGGTCTGTAGTTGCCAGCGTCAGTGGCAGAGTCAGATTTGTATACTGGGATGACCTCGGTCACTTTGCACTCGGCAGGAAAAATTCCCTCGCTGAAAGATTTATTTATTAGTTTAGACATTAGCGGTAGGATTGGAGGACCAATCTTTTTTATCAGGATGTTGTTGATGCCATTGGGGCTTGACTTCTTATTTTTAAGATTGTTGATAATGGTTTCAGTTTCCTGCATAGTAACAGTTCTAAGGTCAAAGATTTAACTTTATATTTTCCGTTCTAATGGTGCCACATTACTCCGCCACTTTGCAAATTGTGTAGAAAGAAAGCACCAACAATATGAGAAAAGTTTCAGAACGGTCGCACATAAGGTAGAAAAACCGTCCCAAAAAAACCGATTTTAGACTTTTTGAATTTTAGTTGTGGAAGACAATTTTCGGAATCATCTTGTGTCTGCAAATTTTACCCGAGAGATACGTTCTACACGTCAAAACGTAGCCTCACTTGCGTAGAACAAAATGCACTTAGCGAAAGTGATTTCTCATACTCCCTTGGGCTGTAGTAGAGGCGGGAAGCCCCAAATCTGGAGCGTAGGACATCAAAAAGTGTCCACGGAAATTACATTCTAGGGTAAAACTTGCAATTTAACGGTGGAAGGAGGCAAAATTTCATCTTGATGAGAGTTGTACCTCGTCCTCAAGGTCAAAAAACATAAAGGTAGGAAAAGACCCGGTTAAAATCGACTTTAGGTTGGAAGAACCAGAGAGAGGACACGAAATTATCACATCTCGCGAGAACTGCTCACCAGCGTGCCTGTCTGTGCACTACAGGTGCAACTTTCTTGGCAGGAAATAAAAAAAAAAACAGCAATAGCCTTCCGTATCCCACTGTGCCCTCTTCCTTTATTCAGTGCAGTTGGCTGAAGCTCGACTGAAAGACAGACGCGCTCGGCAGTCTTTGATGCCACTTGAACAAAGGTTGACTCCGGTGACATTTTTAGTCAATGTTAGCAACACTGTGTCTGTGGGCAATTTGATCCATGGCCACTGCAAAAATTTCATGGCACTTCCTGACAAAATTTGGGACGGTAAGATGAAATTCCTGGAAGGAAAGTGAGCCGTGAAATTGTTAAGAGGCTACCTAATTCTTTACAGTGAAGTGGATGAAGAGTATAAATTGGCAGGCATCATTATTCAGGACTCTGAAAACTAAATTGAGTGCACAGTGCACGGCACACTCTTTGAACTTTTTAATTTCCCAGTGCTGCACTAATACTTCGACGCCTCCTAATAGTATAGTCCTGAGGGCCAGAGCAGATCCAAGACAATTCTAACAGACAGTGCAGATTTAGAACTATCCTAACTGCAGAGGTACCTAAAAGTGTTCGTGAGCTATCTTCACTGCAAATCAGCAAATCATGATGTCTCTGAAATACAAAGCCCACGTATTTATATAAGGATGAAATATGTCACATGTCCTTCGGCACTTCGGCAAGTAATTTTATGATTATGTTGTCACGGACTTTGAAAAAAAAAAGAAAAAAAAAGAACGGTTTTCACGTTATGCACTCCAAGGAAAAGTGTGAAGAGTACAACAAAAGTACAACAAAAACTGTGCATTAAAAGTAAAAAAAGGATTGAAGAAAGTACAACGAGAATTGTACAAACCACAATGAGGCCTGGACTGCACAGCACTCGTCATGCCCGTTTCATTGTACTTTGTACAACAATTGTTGTACTTTGAAAGTACAATAAATTCCTGATAAAAAATTTGTGTACTTTCGTTGTGGTTTTCCTTGCAGTGTGAGCAGTTACGATAGCTCTGAAGTGACACTTACAGTTAGGATTGTCTTGGATCTACTCTGGTAGTAAGGATTATTCTATGAGGAGGCGTCTACTTTGTGTAGCACATGCTCTCCTTGAGAACGTTCTCCTACTACGTGTCCGACCTGGTGCCGACAATCCAAATGACGGTGGTGGACAATGCCTTCGCCGCCGTGCTGGCCGCCTGCGTGTTCCTCGGGCGAGAGGCCGCCGACGATGTGCGGGACCAGATCTGCTCTCTGGCTAGCCGATTGGAGCAGGGAATGACTGCCGAGGAGGACCGGCAGGCAGCGCTGGAGCTGCGAGTGCTTCGAACGCGGCAGCAAATCTTGCAGGTAGGTTTTAAGAAAATGAAATTTCGAATGAGGGTCATGAGGGGTTTCTCAAATTTAAAAGATGGCACTTTTCCTCTCGGAGAGCTCAAAAGATGTGAAAAAAAAGAAAACCTGATATGCAGGACAAAGCCTTAAGTTTTATTAACTTTAGCTTGGAAGTGGTTTCTCAAGACCAGTCTGCTACGTATGCGCCCAGATGTGTGTACTCAGCCAAGTACAGGTGTGCACTCAACCAAGCATTCAGTTACTGATGTGTAGCACTTGCAAGGACACTGCCAATCCAAGTCCACGCAAGAAAACGTGGGCCACGAATGGTCCACGCTACACGGTAAAAACGGTTCCTCGTTTTCGCAGGAACCATCTGGAAATCGCCTGTCTTCACCATAGGCGCCCTAGGAAAACCAGACCTGTACCTGTACCATTTTTACCGTGTAGGACACGAGGACCTTGCTGTGGTCCACACTCGCAAGTGTGACTGGCCTATGAGGAGTGCAACGCTGCAAAACGGGGACCACAGCTTGGTCCACGTTTCCTAGCGCTGACCATTCGTGGTCCACGTTTTTCTTGCGTGGACTTGGTCCACACTTGGATTATCAGTGTATGCATCTCCTCGAGTACACACTTGGATTATAGAGAATACTTGCAGGACGTGGTACGCGCCAGCAACAACGCACACGGTGGTGCTACACTGTGCTGTCTCTTCATCACGGTCATGGAGGCCTCCGTCTGCTGCTACGCTGGTGTCTCGTACGTGCGGGCCATGATAAACGGGAGAGGGATGTCTGGGACTCTCGCCGACTACGGCGTCATCGTCAGCGCTTGGGCTCTCATCCTTTTGTTGAGGTTCATGGCAAACTGCATCATGGGCGAGCAGTTGTGCAAATCGGTAAGGAAGCATCCTTAATTTCCTACCCCGCGAACTCATCAGTGTACACTCTAAATGTCGTACAGTGAAGATTTTCCCTATTATGGTGAAAACCTTCCATATTATGGTGGTGCAGCTGAGTTCATAACATACCATTCAGAATTCACTGTGTGTGCCTTATAGATATTTTGACGAATTTTGTTGGTATTGTGGAGAAAATCTTCACCATAATATGTTGGTGCAGCCTTCCCCGTAAGACATCTACAGTGTATTCTCACAAGTATATTCAGACGAGAGTACTCAAATGCTCTGCCAACTCAACATTGTGCTCAGTACACTCCATTCGGCGTGCTCGCAAGTACACGAGAGCGCGCTCGGATGAGTTATGACTTCCACGAGTGTGCTCAGATGAGTGTACCAACGAGAGTGTGCTTGGATCCGTACACACCTTATCACGCCTGACAATATATGCAGCTTGGTACGCTGAAGAGAGTACTTACTCGTGAGTAGACTATGACAGTGTAATGAATAATTACCGTGTTGAATTCACAGAGTATTTATATATTCACTGAAAATCTACCGGCGTGACTTCGTGCCGCTGCAGGGGCGTGAATAAATGCCATGCCAATTAACGGCATAACACAAAAGTCACGCCAAAAATCGGCGTGACTCGAAAATTCACGCCAATTTTTGGTGTGAATTTCTTGTCATGCCGCTTTTTGGCATGACTTGTCTCATAAAACGCATTGTCATTCACGCCAAATAGCGGCGTGACTCACATGTCACGCCGTTCATCGGCGTGAATTTCGTGTCACGCCACTTTATGGCGTGACTTTTTGTCAAGCCATACTTTGGCCATGTGTCCGACCATTACGTTTTCAGTGTTGTAATGCGTGTGCAGGCCTGTTCTTGCAATGACACGTCTATATAACAATATTTTCCCTATGCAGTAAATCTGCACTCTTTGTTTCATTAATAGGTAATCTCAAAGTCGCGAGAAGGATTGTAGCGGAATTGACGACAACAGTGCAGGATTTCCGTGGCTGGAGTACTCTGATTCTTCGCTTGTGGGCAGCAGAAGTTTGCCGTTGGCGGTTTTACTCCAAACCGCCTCGGACCTGTTGAATGTGGAGCTTCCACACTGCTAGAAAAAACCACAACAAACTTAGAAACATTCCTGGCAATTTTTTCAGGAATTTCTTGTACTCTCAAAGTACAACAATTGTTGAACAATTTTTGAACCATTGTTGAACAATTGTTGTTAGGAATCAGCCTGGAGTGAGAATGGGTTAAGACCCGTTGAGAATGGGTTAAGACCCGTTTGGAACGGAATGAGACCCATTGTGAATGGGTCGTGAACCCATTGGAGATGGGTTGAGACCCATTGGAGATGGGTTGAGACCCGTTGGAGATGGGGTAGGACCCATTTATACCCAGCTTTTTGGGTTCGGTCAAGGATCGCCTGCGAGGTAGGCAAAAATGTAGTGCAATTAGGTAGGCAAACCCGCTACACACCTATTCAGGGTAACTTGTAAACTACTGCAGCTAGGCCAAATCAGACAGCACCGTTGTGTTCAGCGTCGCAAGGTCAGTTTTTGACGTTCATCGAGATCAGACTACTCTTCTTTGTAAAATAAATAATATAAAGTCCAGTCTGACTTTGGACACTTTGCGATGGGTCAGATCCATTATGGGTGCAACCCCTTTAAATGGGTACTTTTCATACACCCATTTCATGGGTCAGATCCATTATGGGTGCAACCCCTTTAAATGGGTACTTTTCATACACCCATTTCATGGGTTGGACCCAATGAAATGGGTGCATGAAAAGTACCCATTTAAATGGGTTCAGCAAAAGGGTTTCGTCTGCTATGTGCGTGCAGTCCAGGCCTCGTTGTAGTTTGTACCATTCTCGTTGTATTTTCAACTATCCCCTTTGTACTTTTTAGAGATGCAAATTTTCCGGAAACTTTCAAAGGGTCGGAAAAAAACCGGAAAAGTTGGAAAAAAACCCAGAAAATTTGGAAAAAAAGGAAAAATAGGAAAAATTAGTTTTTAAGCACTATGAACATGAAATCTACCACTTTTGTGCTTTTTTACAACTTAACCTATACTGACAACCCGAGATTAACAACAGCAAGCTCAAAAAACGCACGAGAAGGAGTCATAACAGGGTATAAGTAGTTTGAGTGCACTGAGAATCGTGTTCACAGTAGGGTTAAAGGTATGCTTTTAGCCTACTTTCAGGCGAAGTGTCCGACTTTTTGCCTACTTTTCAGGCTGAATCTTTCCAATTTTTCCGAGGCCAGGGAAAAAAACGAAAAAAAAAACACTGTTTTTTTCAATTTTTCCGGAAACTTTCCGGGCATTTTCATCCCTAGTACTTTTGTTGTACCGTTTCCGTTGTACTTTAGTCGTAATATTCGCACTTTTTCTTGCAGTGCAGACAACTACTTATTCTACCATTTCAAATCAGTGCGTGTGAGCCAATTGACTATATAGTTATTGATGCGATGAGTGCTGTTCTGTGTTTCAGCATACAAGAATATCTAATATGCTCCATCGGTTCCTGTCGCAACACACATGCATCCCGGACAGGACAAACAGAGAGGCAAGTTGCGACCAGACCATCTGAGACCCCTTACAGTGGAAGCTTCCACTACCTAGGTTTCGAGGACATTAAGGTTATTGTAAAGTGAAGCAAAGCTCCGTCGAACTAAGTTGCCAGTTCCATAGGAATTGGCTGGCCGGTCCATTAAGTGTCCGGACCTGTGGACCCCCAACCTCCCGGTCGCCTCCTTGCCCTCACTTGGCAAAACACACCCAAGCGGTAATAACCTCTTGTCCGGTCCTGTCATTTGTTTGCAGGTGCAGGGGTTCAGAAGACAAGTTCAGTTGCAAGACTGTCGCTACGGCGTCTACGACCTGCTGTACTTTGATTACACCACAATGAAAGCGGTCAGCAGCTGTGTTGATGCGAAGTGTGTGCGGCAAAAACGGCTTCCTGTTTTCCAAGCCCGCTGGAAACCGCCTGTGTTGACCATAGGCTACCTGGGGAAACCAGAAACCTTTCTTGCCTCTATGACGATCATTAGTTCATCCAATTTTCCCGTTGCGTTGCTTACAAAAACGTTCGTAGAGTAAACTTAAAATTTCCTCCGCAAAAGTCAGCAATGCAGCATTGCTCGCTGTCGAAAAACAAAATTAAACATGGAAGATCAACAGCTTCATGCAGGGGAGCTTCCTGCCCGCAAGAATTTCTTTTACCGGACGAGTCAGAACATGCTTTCAGTGAAACCATTGGCTGTGATTGTAAAGTTGTAACGGCTTCCGATAAGACATTTCAAGATCTAATGTGGACATCTGTAGCAGTGTAGGAGTGGAGCAAGTACAATCCTATACAGTCAGCGTTCCCGTGAATGTCCATGAAATCTGACTCTCATCTCATCCTGTAGATGTATACTATCACTATCATTGTCTAAATGTCTTACGATGAAATTTGGCCTTTGTTACTTGTAGGTTACAGTTAATTCGGCGCAAGCATAATACGAAACAATATCTCTTCGGAATACGAATCTTTTTAGCCTTTTCAATGTAAGATACAAAGAAAAACCTTCGTAATACCAAGAAAAAAAAACCTTCGTTCGTGCACGCTTGCGCCATTTCCTTCGTGTTACGGGGTATTTCTTCGTATGACATTTAGAGTGCACATTCCTTCGGTATACTCCAAGTACACAAGTACACAGTTGACTCTCTAGCGCATCCTCTAAAATCTTTCGTTTCTGTCACAGGTTATTCACTCCTTCACGACATTCCTGGTTATTCTACTCCAGTTCGATTCAGATCTAAACGCGCCCAGTCAAGGGATATGATGATTCCAGTGACTGCGATGCAAAGAGAAGATAATGATTCCAATGAGACTAGGTGTAGCCGGGAGAGCAGGCCTAGAGAGCTCCGAGTGACTGTGTGACGACCGACTCGCAGTCGTTCAGTGCGGTTCAGTGTGTGTATGCGTAACTTATGTCCTGGCGCGGGCAGTTTGTGTGTGTGCGCACTGTGGGAAAAAATCACAGTAAATCCTGTAGTGATAAGTACAGCTGTCACTGTAGTTCAGAGTACAGGATTTACTGTATTTTTTTACAGGATCTACTGTACTTTGTACGGGATTCACTGTACCACAGGAGTGGAGTACGGAATATCCTGTACCAGGTACAGTAAACACTGTAGCCAGGCACAGTAAATCATGTGTTCTGAAGTACAATAAATCTCAGCAAAAAAATTTACGGGATTTACTGTGGTTTTTTCGTACAGTGCGAGCGCCCAAATGACCAATCAGACCAAAACTGTTGCGCAGAATCCCTTTGAAGTGCAAACTTCTCGTTGAGAGATTACGTCAACTGGAAGCCAACATCTATCTTCATACTTTTTGTAGTCAAATAGATGATTCCATTAAATTTCAATTTAAAAAGGGTCTTACTTGCAACATAAGTGCTGGATACGTGTAGGCCTAAGACGATAAGTAAATTATTTCTAGACGCATTTTTAGCTGTTTTTCACACACCTCACCCGAAAACGTCACAAACTTACTTTAACTATTTGGTAAAGCTTCATTAAAAAAACAAATTGTTTTCGTATTCCAAACCTGACTTCACCACGCTGTGGAGCAGAAAACTATACGGGCCGCCCGTCAAGTTTCATCTTGTTGATTGGTTTGCTTGCATGCATGAAAGATACACTGTAAAAAATGTTCGGAATTTTACCATACAGTGGTCAAGGAAAATTCCTATACATGTATAGGAATTACTCAAATTCCGATACATGTATAGGAATATTCCGATTTGTATTGGTTTTTTTGCTTTACGGGCTGAAAATGTATAGGAATGTTCCTGTACATGTATTGGAATTTGAGTAATTCCTATACATGTATAGGAATTTTGCAGCCCTGTATAGGAATACGGCCAACTGAAAAAAAAGGAATTTGCCATCAACCTCATGAACAGCGATTCATATTATTGTATTTTGTCTTAACACTGGTAATCAATGCGTTTATTTGTTAAAAACGTACACAATTCACAAAAGCTGCTTGTTTGCCCACTGTCCGGATTATCCGCTAGATGGCGCTAGTGTCGTTTCGACGGACTTACTTCTCGGGGTACGCTGCGGCTAGGAATTTGGTTGGGTCAGGGGGCTCGCGACCCACCACTTTGTAAGAAAGTTGAGTACCTTTCAACTCTTACATCATTTTTCTGAGGTGATAGAACTTTCACCTTGGGTGTCCGTTTGGTAAAGTCGAACTTTGCCAATTTGGGAGACCGTGATGAAGGATCAGTAATGATTCGTACTCGATGATCTATTACGGCGAAAAGTTCGGCCGTTGTATTAAATATCTGACAGTTCATCTGGTTCAGCCTGCCTAATTTAGATATTGTGGTGGAAATCCTATACATGCATTGCAGTTACGCCATTCCGATGTATAGGAAAATTCCTATACAACGGATGGGAGAACGCCTGTACACGTAATAGTCATAATCCCGTACTGATGTATAGGAAAATTACCATACGAGTGCATGGTAAAATTCCTATACGTGTATATGTAAATAGCTTCATATACATGTATAGGAATTTGACTAAAAAAAATTTTACAGTGTATTTCAAGAGGCAGACGACGCCTCGACTTCGTGACGAATGATGTCTCACGCCACAAGTACGAGAAATCACTGCAGCGGTTGTGTCGTCGTACTTGCAGAAAATTCAATTCTGTCCTCAAATCAATGAACCGATTGTGGTGAAACTGCAACGTTATTATTATTTAAGAGAGTGGAATAAACAGTATAATAAATACATTGTTTCGCGTAATCAACATGTGTCGTGCCCTGCTGGGTAAAAACGGTACCTGGTTTTCCCAGAAAGCCTATGGTAAAGACATAGGCCATTTCGAGGGAGTTCCTGGGAACACCCGGAACCGATTTTACCGTGTGTGTTCTGCGCACACATGGAAGCAAGCACGAGTGTGCACGGTTGCTATCGTTTGCTCTAAATCGCCACCGTTCTGACACGTGACGTTCGCTACTGAATAATGAATGATCGATGGCATGTCGACCCCGCACTGCTAGAAAAAAGTAAGGAGAAACATACGGAACTTGTCTGGTCAACAATGTCCCTGGACCTTCCGTATCTTATCTGTACCCAGTCCAGGGTGGGTACGCCTCGTCAATACCAAATGGATAACGGATATTAACCATACCGAACCGTCACACATTTTTAACAGTTCCGAACAGCACCGAACCGTCCAATGGCTACCATCTGATTGGTACCCAAATTTCATAAAGGGGGTCGCGTATTTTTTGTGTATGTAAACTCCGTGCCTGATTTGCCACGGACCCCCTGTGCGTCAAACTTTCGAAATGTGGATAAAAACAACACTGCGCCCCCATGGGAACATCCACGTGGATGAGACGTGGACGCAACGTTAATTTTCACGTGGAATCGACGTGGATGGTCGATTCGACAATCGAGTAGAAACGTCCAAGTCAAACTACGTGGATGCAACGTGGATTCAGCAACTCGCCCTATCCACCAACCATCGATGTTACATCGAGGCGCGTACCGGTCATTCTGAGCTTGGTGAAGCATAATTCGATTGAGTCGATAATCGATGTGAAATCTATGACTTAACCTACCCGGCATTCATGTTAGAAAGTCCTCTCGCGGTTGATCACCGTGAGGACGTCTAAAAAATCATACGTTGATCACCGTGAGGACGTCGTAAAAATCATACGATCGAGACATGTCCTATGAGGACCACGACAAGTCCACCTAAGTTGTCCGATGGGCGTTGTATTATGGCTCTGGGATATGGTGAATTGGCATCCTACTTGCAGGTCGAGAGTGTAAGGAAAGACAGGAATATCAGCAGGCCCTCTGTCGGTAGCTTTCAAAACTAATCGAGTTCCAAAGTCCTCGCATAATCTTCGTTGAATCCACGAGGAAGTCCGAATCCTCTGCGATGAATCCGGCTCAGGCAGACACGACCATGATACAATGAATTTGGAAACGTGTGATCGACATTGAGATCGTGTAGAAAAGTTAAGGCGCTCAATCCTCATACCATTGATATCGATAGGACCGCTCTGGATACTCGTCACAAGGTCACCGCATTATCGACGTAGACACAACGTCCCTCAAATCCGTTGGACTATCCACGTAGAGTCAACGTTGATTTACAATGGACCACTATATACGCCTAAATCGATGTTAAATCAACGTGAAAGTCACGTGGATTTAAGGAAGAAAAATGCTATCCACCTAATCCACCTATCTCACGTGGATTCTACGTGGACGATACGTGGTTGTTCCCATGGGGGCCAATCCAAGTGTCACACTATTTAGTGCGAACCACGATGTCTCACGCTTACAAGTGTGAGCCACCACTCTACCAAAAATGTCCTGTAAATGCCGTTAATTTATTACCAGTTTTCACTGTACACGGAAAAAAAGAATTTGTTGTGACAACGAAAATCTATGTTGATTTTGGGATAGCAAAAAAAAAGTTGTTGGGCGTACTATAAATTTGTTGTGAGAACGAACACTTTGCTCTCACGACAAATTATTCGTCAGGAGCACAAACATTCATTTTTATTATGTTTAGTACTCCTGACGATATAGTTCGTTGTCAGAACGAAATGTTCGTTCTGACAACAAATTGATAGTACGCCCAACAACTTTTTTTAGCTATCCCAAAATCAACATACATTTTCGTTGTCACAACAAATTCTTTTTTTACGTGTAGGTCAATTCACAGCGTTTACTGTGATCTGCTCACGGGATTCACTGTGATCTTGTTCACGGTGTTCTCTGTGATCTGGTCCCCAGTAAACACTGTGAGTTTGACGCCGCTGAGCACCGAAGTACTGCAAATCAGGCTCCAATTCACGGCGTTTACTGTGGCTAGATCACAGTGAACACTGTGACCGAGATCACAGTGAACGCCGTGAACTAGTTCACAGCAAACGCCGTGAATTGCATAACAGCAAACATTGGTAATAAATTAACGGCGTTGACAGGACATTTTTTGTAGAGTGACGTGTGTCCCACGCTTGCAAGTGTGAGCCTTGTATGTCCCACGCTTGCAAGTGTGAGACACGGTATGTCTCACACTTGCAAGCGTGAGGCACGGTTTGTCTCTAACGAGCGTGGATCCCGAGGGGGCCACCACTCTCATTTCAGGCGTACACAAGATTACGGGATTACGGGATATTTACCAGGGATTACGCGTGAAATTTTCGAAAATTGGTTCGAAAACTTTGAAAAGTAGCTCGAAAACGTTGGAAAATGACTCAAAAACGTTGAAAAATGACAGAATTTTGTCAAGGATTACGTGATTACGCCATGGATTACCAGAGATTACCAGCAAACTTGTACACAGGATTACGGGGGTGGTGGCCCCCTCGGTGGATCCCGTGGCATTATACCACAGGGAACCATACACTCTCATTCCAGGAACGTGACATCACGTTAAAACGAACGTGACAAAATGTCACGTTCGTTTGAGCATTGTGTCACGTTCGTTTGAATGTGAACAGGCTGATTTTTGGCCAATTCACACCCAAACGAATGTGACACAATGCTCAAACAAACGTGACATTTTGTCACGTTCGTTTCAACGTGATGTCACGTTCCTGGAATGAGAGTGTATAGGCAGCAAGAGTGGAACAAGCCGTGTCTCACACTTGTAAGTGTGAGACAAATGATGTCTCACACTTGCAAGCGTGGGACAAACGTGGCTCCAGGGATCCTTAACTTACCTCATAAGGGCATCATAACGTTATCATAAGAGTTTAAGTTATTACCCTTAACTTCTAACATCTTTTCAAAAGGGTAGGTTTTTTTTTGTCTCGAATTTGTGTGGATATACTTTTGCAAGTACTTTCATAAGTCCGCACCCTTTACCTGTAGCGAACATTGTCTTATGTTACGTTAAGCAGTGTTAGTTAAATGTTAAGTTAAGTTAAGGATCCCTGCGTGGCTCACACTTGCGTGAGACATCGTGGTTCGCACTAAATAGTGTGAGACTGTCTCACACTTGGATTGGCAGTCAATGCTTTGGTGGTCCTTTAGTCAGCTGTGTATGCGCGTTCTACTGTTTCAACTCATACGGCTGCAATCCAGGTATTTGCTTCAAAATGTAAACTCCGTATGGGAGGGTGGGGCACCAAGTGACAGGGGCACCTAGTCACACAGGGGTGCCCTGGCTTCCCTATGGCACTTGCAGGCATCTTGAGGTGGCTAATCTAAAGGTCTTGAACTGTGGAATCAAGTTTAAATGAGAGTGAGACTTTCAACTAAGTATTTTAGCACCTAGAATAAAACAAAGAAAGAAAATTACCAAAAGTCACAGATTTTATAACTTTTTTACAAAGTGTTTTCACGTCATTCTTTTCACTTTCATTCTGGAATTTCATCACTCGCTGCCCCGTTATGTTGCTTTGGATGGTAACGCCAGCTTTTGCGCATCGCTAGGTAAAGGATTT